AGAACAAATAATTTTTTAAGGTTCAATTATTATTTAAATAGTACAGTTACATTGTTAGTATGAATAACGACGCTTTTTATACGAATTTTAGTTTTTAACGTCGATCTTATGATATATTATATGGTATAATGATAATGACAATGGTAATAACAATAACGATAAAATGATATCGATAATGGAACAGAATTAAAAGAGAAATGGAAAATACGCGTAAATGAGACATAAGAAAGCGAGGAGAGACAGGGAGAGAGAGCGCGTGCGAGAGCGAGTATATGAGTGTAAAACGAACGAGAGAATATAGAGCGAAAGGGGGAAAAAACGAGAACGAGAGGAAAAGAGAGTGTCGAAAGACGGAAGGAGAGAGCGTGTGTTTAAGCTAGATGATTGTCTATAGTATAAAACGAAGGCATACGTTAGGTAGCCTCGATGCTATTTAAACAGACTTAATTAATGTATTGCAAATGAATTAATAAAGTGTAAGCGAAGCGTGTATCTGTACAGTGAAATCCTTTTTTTTTCTGTCTGCTAGTGCGAGTCGTTTGTCGCTAATCGAGGATCATTTATAATTCGTTCGATTTTCATTTGAAATTCGTACTAATAGTCAGTACTGACAGTAAATATTCTTCTATCGGAAAGAATTTCTTATCGATCTATACGATAAGAAAATTCTGTGTCGACGATAAAAACCTTTATCCATGCTTATCCGACTTTCGTCGGCCATTTCGTTTCTTCTTGCTCAGAACAAACTATTCTTTTATTTTTATTATTCTATGTATTCGTACGAAGTTTGTAATATTTATTTATTGATTAACAAGTGATCCAAGTTTCCGAAATTCAAGAAGAATCAGGTTTCTTTTACGTGAGTTGCTTTCTACGTTCAGATTTTCCGCGTCCGCCATGTTGCCGTTTCAGCTATCTCGCTCGATTAGATATTTCTCCTTGTCACGCTATCTAAGCGACGCAACTGTATAAGTACGCGCGCACGCGCGCGCATGTGTATGTGTGTATACAGTGACATGTGATTTTAGTTATCCAGTATTCTCGCCGGCTCAGAGGTTAGAAACGTTCGGCCGTGTTTGATGTTTCTTATTCCGCATTGTTTGCTGCAAATGATTCCTACGTGAACAGTTGGAGCAGGATGCCATGACGACGTTTGGCCATTTTCGACGGACTGCCAGTAAGTGCATTTAAATCTGTTTGCCCGTGATCCCGTACACGACCACGCTCAACGTCAGCTGACGCGATCGAAAGATCGCTAAACAAAACACGACTGGCTTTCATAACTTCTGAACGTAATTACATGTTTCCCAGTAACGTCGCAGTTCAATTACACTGGTCAACACGATTTTTGCCATAGAAGATTTAATGGGTGATTTTAATAGTATTTCTTATGCTGAATTCGAATAAACTGTGAGAGATAAAGAAAAAGGAATTGCACATTCGAATTCAGCATAAGAAATACTATTAAAATCATGCATTAAACCTTTTGTGGCAAGAAAAAAGTTAAATGTTGTAGACCAGTATTATCGGGTATATTACACTCGTTACGAATGCAGAATTTTTCCATCAAAATTTGTTTTTCTAACAAAGTCGATAACAAGACGATTGATAACGGAGGTATACGAATCTTGGACGAAATATTATAAGTTCAATTTCTTGAACAATTATAGTAGATTTATTCAAGGATTACTGCATCGATGCAGTGGCAGTTTGTAATAATAGTAGTGCCATTGTAGAGACTGGTTGTCCTCGTGCCACATTCACTTTTATAAAAAGCGGTACTTGGAATACAAATCAGGGAAAATTGTATAGTACTGAGGTATAATTTGGAAGAAATTAATCGTTCTGTTTGAGCTATGCTAATTGAAGTTATGATTTGTTTGCAATTATGAAATAACATGTAATTTTTATTACAGAAGCTTTGCAATTTTTGCGACCGTGCAAGTACAATGCTTGTACCGGTCTCCAACAATTTCTACGGAACGAATCGAGTTTCATACCGAAGCGTGTGCTCATCGTGGGCAAATTGTCCCGTTATTATTTCGAAAAATTGCGGGAACCAGACTTGACCAAAGAAGAGTTGAAGAGGAAGTTGCTGGAAAGGGGTTCGGACTATGAGGATATGTTGGCTAGTCATATCGCGACGAAAAATGTGGAACAACAGGTGATCGAAGTGTTGAAGAAGATGAACATAGAGTACAAGATAATAAACAGGTGAATTTGATTTTCCTAGCAATGAAATGTATCTAATAATTTTTAGTAATTACATTTACTGGCATTACAGAAATACTCAATCAATAATTTGATCCATCAAATCTTGACCCGTCGAACTGACCAACAACATGACTTACTTAAATGTGACTTATCAAATTTAATTTTGCAATATTTTAATGAAATCTGTCCAGTTATTCTTAATACTAACATCCAATTATTATTGCATTACAGAAAGAATCTCGACCTATCGAATTTCACATGGGCCGACTTGATTCTTCCGATAGGCGGCGATGGTACGTTCCTACTGGCGTCGAATATGATATTCGATGACAAAAAACCGATTATCGGTATTAACTCGTATCCCGAAAGATCAGAAGGATTCCTCATGCTCTCAGCACAGTATACGAAAAGAATACCCGACATTTTTGAAATGTTGAAAGCCGGTCAGTATCGCGTCCTAATGAGGAGAAGAATTCGAACGACGTTGAAGGGAGATGACATCTGGGAACCACCATTTCATACGCACGAGAAAGGTCGCGTTGCTGGTGGCGAAAAGTAATGAAACCATAAACAATTCTTTTATACATATAACAATTTGAATCCATTTGTACTTATAATTTGAATTTTTTTCTTTGTTTCCTGCTCAGATTTTACGTTCAAGATTTAAACGGACAAAAGTCTAACAACCTGCCAAAAGAAAGACGTTTACCCTGGTTAGCGCTGAACGAAGTGAGTTTCATACGAAATTTTCATCTGTGTTGCAAGATAATAACCATCAATAGAATCCTTGAACTTTCTCTCAACTAGGTTTTTATGGCGGAAAGTTTATCTGCCAGGACAAGCGACTTGCTGATCAAAGTTAACGATGAAGAGAAGTACCACATGGTGAAAAGCTCTGGACTGTGCATTAGCACTGGTACAGGTTCAACGTCTTGGTACAAATCGATAAACAGCGTCAGTCCGCAAATAGTGCGGGACATAGTAAATGTAGTTGGCGAGAAAAGAGAGTTCAGCAGAGAGGAGATCGAAAAAATCTGCGTTACTTTTAACGATAGTTTGCGTTTCGATGCTGGTAAGCATTTCACATTGATAAGAACCATTTTAACGTAGACTCTAACTGTCTGGTTACATTTTAGAGGATCAAAGACTCTGTTACGCAGTAAGGGACATGATAGTGAACGACTTGTGGCCAGTACCAAAATGCTTGAATCCTCGAGGATTCTGTAAAAAGTTAACCGTAAGATCGCAGTGTTTTGACGCTGGTTTAGTTCTCGACGGCGGTATCGCGGTGCCGTTCAATTTCGGAGCAACCGCGGTGATGGAAACACACCCCGAAGATTCTCTGCGATCGTTGATCCTTCCGGATTGAACGACGCAGACTTCTACAAGAAAGTGTACTTTAAGACATCAATTCCTTAACGAACTTGTTAAGATAAGATTGAAACGGAGCATCAACGCTCCGAACAAAAAACTGAATGAAACCAAAATACGCAATAATACTTTTGTACCTTATAGGTGTTTTCAAGTTTTAAGGTAATAACGCGCTTCGAGGCCGAAGTGTCACAGTCAGAAGCCAGGAACGTGTTCTGGCGCCCGTCGCATTTCAGTTTAACGGACAGTAACAGAACCAATGTAACGATTGTATGTAACGTGAACCAAATTTTATAAAGACATATTTCATAAGAATAAAGATGCTAAGCTAAGATGATAAGCGTTTTACGAAATTGATTTTGAAATTTCACTTGTATCCGTGGTATCTGAATACCAGAACAGTAGTGTTCTTTGTCCCTGACAGTATTCAACGGAAATAACGTAGTCGGTAGATGAACGAACGGCAGAAAAAGAGAGACGGAAGTAGGCGGCGTCGCGAGCGCGTTCGCAAACGCCACACCAACACATGGCGCCGCCATCACTCGGTCAGAAAAAAAGAGTGAATTTACACGGAACCCATGTACGTGTAAATTGCTACGTTCGTTTGTGTTTATCCCATCACGACGCGAGGTCTGACGTTAGTTGTGCACCTTAGGTTTGATAAGATTCTCTCGCAGATTGTGTCGGAACGGGATGATGCGCGAGTGCGACGCGTTGACGGCAGACTCTTCGCCAACCCGAATGGATTTATAAGAATTTGAACGGTAAACAAAAGTCATTGATCACACAACGCATAGTTTCGATGGTAAAGACGAGGCGTCCCTGGCTTTTTTTCCGGCTAGGCCGTTGCTAATATCGACGCGTCATTTCATTTGAACGATTCCCAGTGACAAATAAACACGATCGATGGTTGGAAAAGATGCAAGGGCTCCGGAATTAAAACTATCGGACAGTTCCGTGGTCAGTTTTAAGGTTAGAATACATCGTTAGTATCAATTAAGATAACGAGGCGACAAGAGACCATTCGTTATCAATATTATCAGTGATTCCCTTCATTCATATTGCCACACCAATAACAATACCAGCACGAAAGTAACAATGCGAAAAGATTTTGTTGGGACTCACTCGTGAAACAGATGATGCGTTTGAGTGTGTAGCGGCGGTTTCTTAGTAGTAGTAAGGCCATCGACCGTGTTAGCTGTTGCATTTTGTGTGCCCTTTTCGAAATGAAGTTTTGTTTGTATAAATCAAAGTAGTCCGTGGAATTAATATACCATTCAATTAATTATATTTTCCCTTTGTCATTGATAAAAAGCTCGTGTTTATAAAAAGTTTAATATGAATCCCTTTGTTAATCTTGAAAAATGTTTACGTTTATATTGTTTACTAATAAAGACAGGAAAAGGAGTATGCGTATGCAAAGATCCGAAAGAATTAATTATCTAAGAGATTTACGATACAATTTTTCGTTAAGTACCGGAATCTTGATTTCTTGATCTATACATTTTTCAATTTATTGAAATGTTTTTTATCTTTGATAGGTATATAAAAGATGAATGTTGGAATTTTTGGCTATCAAAATGATAAGTGGTTACATACGAAACGCGATAGTGACTTTTTCTTTGTCGGAATGATTCATCGTAACACGATCTAGTCGATCGCGTTCGTTTCTTATAATAAGTATTTAGCATAGATCATTTCTTATTTAGGTCAATCGCAATAACCTTAAGTGTAACATGGATTTTATTATGATTACAATATTTGAAATGTTGTAACTTTACTTAACAATTCGTAAAAGCGAGCGTCCAGCAGAATAAAAAAATATTATATCAGATTATATCAGTGCCAACTGGTGTAAGATAAAAGAACTGAACTATTAAAAAAACAGATTGTGAAAGATACTGGGTGAAAGCGACGACACTTGCGAGTCACTGTTACATTAAATAATACATATATCTTATCGTGCGTATCCCAGCTCATGTAAATAAATTAATTTATAAATATAATATTTTTCTGTAAACAAAAATACTTGGAATACGCGGCATAATTGAAAGATAAATACTGTAACTATTTTATCACGTAACATTATTCCCACAGTCGTGATACGTCAATGCGAAGTTGTAATGTAAAACGAAATCATAACGCGAATTTCTAACTAGTTGTATGTACGAATACGACCTGAATAAACTTGAAAGAATCTTCAAACTATATCTCCCAGTTACTAGAATATACCCATTGATAATAAATATAATTTAATTAATAAATCGAATCAAATTAATAGTCTCTCATTTACAGAATCATTAATCTTTAGAAAGAAGGGGTGACTTCGCAAACTCGCCAATCGCAAGGTATTAAAAACACATTCCTCGTCTCTAAGATACAAACAAACTATTCACTACTCGTTTACGTTTTGAACATTAATTTTCAAGAAACTGTTCCACTGTAATAAGGATATTATTTATTAAAAACAAAATAAAAATTTCTAGGCTTAACAATACTCTGAACCTAGGA